TATCCTCCAAGAGAAAGGGAAGACTCCAATGGGGCACCCCTTGGTTGTTGAACAAAGAACAACTCTACCAAAGTCGCCATATCGGCTCGATCGGCGTAATAACCGCCAATATGGTGTTTTGACCTAAAAGGTCACTTTAGCAGAGTTGACATCCGGACCGAGTCGCCATAATTTATGGAGGGCACTCCATATCGAGCCTGCAAGCCTCCATATTTTGGAGACTGGGGGCGCTGGTTTGGAGGGCACTCCATCCGTTAACCGCTTGCGCCGGAAGGAATGTTTCAGGTCCCTCCTTAGGCTCCCGCGCCGGTCATCTCCTCTCCTTCCCCTTCCCTCTACTTCATGCCCACCAAAATTAGCACCTCGCTGCCGGCAAACCGGAATCGGCACCCAATCGCCAGAATCGATACCCCACCATCAAAATCGTTGCCTTGTCGATGGCACTCGCTCCGGGGCGGAGCTTCTACCTCGGCTATCTCGTTGATTTTGACACCCTCACTGGGTATCTCAGTTGCCCCGAGGAAGAAGGTGCTAATGTAACTATCTCTAGAGAAAGTAACTGCCTATCCATATGGAGCACACTCCATATGTGTACTGGCGACCGCAAATATTGTGACTATGCTATTATTACTCTAAGAGACTTCGGGTTCCGTTGTGGCTATAATCCATTGTTTTGTAAAAGCACTTGGACAAGATGGTTCGGTCGAGGCTCATTTTCGATGATTACACTTTCTTTCTAGCGGAAGGGCAAATTATTGCTATTCGTTCTGGAGATTGTATGGTGGTTCTGGTTGACCATCTCTCATGTGGCCTCAGATATCTCATTTCCCCGTTAGCGCTGAAGCCTTCGCGGTGTATGAGATCACACATACCACCTGGCACTAAGGGTTGTTTTGGTTCTCACCATCTTTGTCCCTTCGTGTGAGGATTTTTCTGCCCACCCTCATGGTCTCAAGCTGTTCATATATCTGTATGGATTGAGGTTGCTCGAGCTTGCCAAGGGGTGAGTTGCCATAGGAGGACAAATGGGATGAGGAGAGGTTGTGAGGTTCTTTTTCTTATTATTTTTCAAAAATGATGTTAAGGTGTAAGTGACAATGCCGGAAAGTATGTAGCCAATTTCAATCATGTGTTAGTCAACACACCCAGCCTCCCTCCAATTTTGAGCCTAATTTTGACAAAAACTTGACTTAATGAATTATGAGTTATATGCCACAAAAGATATATCACTAGAAACTTCTTTCAAATATGAATCCAATGATAAACTTTTTGTGGCATTTAACTCATATTTCACTAATATTTTACTAGTTATATTTCTAGTCAAATTTTGACTAGAAATTTCAGGAGGCTGATAAACGACGGGCAGAGCGAGTAGTTGACACGAGCTATGAGCCAAAATGTAAATATCCCAATTCTTAATTTCCGTTCAAAGCTATAGCGCGTTTGCACATGCACGTATACATGTGCCTATTCACCGCAAATGTTATTTGACGGGAGCTGACTTTTCTAAAGCCACTTACATTTGCATCCATCATAAGACCAATCATCATACACGTTACGCATTCTCAAGTCAACTCTTAATTAATTGGCTAAGAAACACCCAGGAAATTGAGCAGCAACACCAGAAATTCTTCACCTCCAAGCAACGCATCGAGCCAGGATTGGTTTGCTACCACATAAATATGTCCTGCTACCTGATTGAGGATCAGAGGGAAAGATCAAACGATTAATAGTCAAATGCATTCCGGAGAAAAATATAGTCATTGCTGGCCATGAGCGGATCTCTTAGATCAAACAGTCACTACTATTTCCAAATAAGTTCTTAATTATTTTGAAGAGTAGTGCTTTTCATGGTCAAGTTTGCAAATAGCTTACTTATTTGGAAATTGTGTTTCCGTAGTCAATTTGCAATGGTCAAACAGAGATGAAGTGGGGGCACCAGTGAAATTTCCAGTCAGGTAGTCGTTTTACCAGCTCCACGAAAACACTACTATTCAAAATAATTTAGTTTTTTCGATAAAGGGCGATTTTATTATCTCAAATGTAGCATCAAGCGGATACAAACATTATAAAAACACCCGGCCTCTGCATAATTAGGATGCACACGGCCCAATATGAAGGTCTGACAAAAATTGATGAAAAAAACCGACAAATCGGCAACAGTAGAGCCCTATAGACTGACACTATGCCTATGTCGATGGAGGTGGTGGATCGATCCGAAGGTTATGTTGCCACCCATGTTGGGAAAAAACCTCCATAGCCACCTGTTCCAATCACATACACACCGCCTTGAATAGCGGTTGGTCCTCCGGTCGTTGTAACATAGACCACATACGTAGCAATTGCGTACACCGGAAAATAACCTGTAGAGGAGAAGCATTTCTTCCATTAAAAACAAAATCATTTCTACATAGCCAAAGCGACCAAATTAAGGCATACGCTCCCACCCTTATTAGCGTTTTGAACCTATTTGAAATACCGTCCAACCAATGACCAAAAATATTGGCAACAGTTGTGGGCGGATACAAATTTGACGCTATTTGGATGACTG